CATTATCAGATCTGATTCCCAGTTTTACAGATCAGGAAACTGAAGTTTATCTGTAATATGTGATGGAATAAGTATTAGGTCCCAGGTGAGAACAATCACATCTTTAGGTTAGAAACTCACTAAGCCCTTTAGAACTGGCTTACTATGTTACATTTCACAAAGGAACACTAGAAATTTGTTCAGAGTGCCAGATAGCTTTGCCTTTTCTCAGCTTTGATTTTGTCTCTTTGGGGTGCTATTCATCACTAATTGACGTTTCCTTTTCACTGTAGTTGCTGAAGCAACAACTGAATCCATCACCTCTGTGGAAGAGCAAACACCAATAAGTACATAAAAATGTTCCTTTTTTGAGTTTACAGTGAAACTTTATATCCTCTATATTTATTAAAGTTTATAAGAGAGTTCATCTTTCTAGAAATAAAAACAAAAATGAAAACGTAATAACAAATATTAACAGGTATCCCCGGCTCCTATCAGCATCCTTGGAAAATAAACACATTTCTGAGAATGTGCTCCTAAAACCACTAGTTCAACAAGATGTTAAAAATGACTTGTGCACACACCCATGCACAAATACACACACACACACACACACACACACACACACACACATGGGTTCTGTGGTCCTATGAGTTTAGGAAACACTGCATTAAACAAGTCAAACAGGGTTTCTTTACTACAGGATATGTAGGAGCTTTTAATACACAATTAACCCTACAAAATCCCCACTAGAAGTCATAGGATGCCACACTTAACGAAATACCCTTGATCCAAATTCCTTTTTCTTCATGTCCCATCTCTTAGGAAGTTTCTGAATAATATGAGTAAGGAAAGTACTGAAATCCAAGTATTTGGGATTAATACAGATGCTACCAAGGTATTCCAATCAAATTAAAATGCTTATCATGTCATCTCCCTGAGCATCGAAAATCAAGGTTGCTGTCCTCTAATACTCGCACTGCCTGAAGGGGGCGCTCCTCCTTTCTCTTCCACTTGCTGGTGTCTTGAGGATGCTCTGTCTCCCCAGGTGGCTTCCCTTGGTCTCCACAAGGAGACATATTCTCCACATTTGTACCCTTTCCATTGACATCTCTCGTGATCCACTCATATTACAGTTGCTCGTATACTTGGTCTGGCTTCTGACCGAGTGATAAGCCTTTTAGACGCAGGCTCTCTGCCTTCCTTTCTTTGCATCCAGTAAACACTTTTGCATGAATGATGCCATGCAGCATTAGCAACTTGTCCAGACTGCTTTCCTGCCCTTCAGGTTTCCTTAAGTGTGGTGTCTTTGAGTCTTTAAGAAGACATTCTATTTTTAAAATAATTATTTCTGCTGAGCAAAGGATTCAAGGATGAGTTTACTTTGAACATATATGGAAGAGTAAAAAGTTATGCAATCTTGTTTGATGGGAATGATGGTGACTGACTTAGATGAATCAAAAGAAAAGAAAAGAGAGAGTTTCAGAAGGGTGTTGGGTCTTAGGATGAGTCCTTCCTGCCGCGTGTTTACTACACTCTGTCCACCCTACTGACTGGGAGTGACCCAAGTCTGCTGTTCTTTATAGTTGACGTCTTCTCAGAGGCTTCATGGACCGCAGCAGCTGAGACCTTGACTCCTCCACCTGCAGGTAGGGGATGGAGTTCCCGAGAAATTAAGGACCGATGGATAGCACCGAGAGAGGCGTTTCTCCAGGCTGGCAGAAACCACAGGCAGAGTTAACGCGGGAGACAGCCCACTTACAATACAAACTGAGGGATTAAGGGTTAATTTTCTTAACCCTTCTGAGTCTCAATTTTTTCATCTGTAAAGTGGAGAACCCAGTACCTATAGTAAAGATTAAGAGAGAAATGTTTAAATTGGTGGCTCATGGGGGCTCTGGCACTTAACTCACAAACTACAAATGTTAGTTCTTGTTCTTTGTCTCCTATTCATGATAAAGCCATTAAGAAAGACCAAAGGGACCAAGTTGTACTAACACTAATGTAGTTCTGGATGACAAGGCGTCTGTTGAGCTGTGATGTGCCTACAGAGAGTCTAGTTTACTATTTCATTAACTATATTAACATCTCATATTTCTATCCCTGTCTATGGCAGAGGAATGACATATGGATAAAAATGGTCTTATTAGGAGAACTTTAGGAGTTCTGGAAGTTTCTTAAAAAGAGTTTCACCTTTTGGAAGGCAGGATACAGCAAAATGCAATTATTTGAAATTGAAGATAATTCTGGTGATTCATAACGTGTGAGGGCATGAGGACTGTGTGATCTTGCATGTTGTGTAATGAAGATATGACCACCTAGGGATTCGAAGGAAACTTTCCAGAGTGTGGAGGGCAGGTCCCCAGTGCCCCTCCTTTTTGTGCCTCCCCAGGAGCCTGGATGGAGGTGAGGCTGCTGAACGGCACGGGGAGGTGCTCAGGCCGCGTGGAGGTCCTTGTCCAGGGAACATGGGGGACCGTGTGTGACGACCTCTGGGACCTGGCCGAGGCCACCGTCGTGTGCCGCCAGCTGCAGTGTGGCCAGGCCGTGGCAGCCCCCACAGGGGCACTTCGGGGCAGGCTCTGGGCAGATCCTGCTGGACGACGTGCAGTGTGTGGGCAGCGAGAGCAACCTGGGGCAGTGCGTGCACAGGGGCCAGGCCGGGCACAGCTGCGGGCACCTGGAGGACGCCGGTGTCATCTGTGCAGGTGAGGGCTGTCACCTCTCACGACCTGACCACTGTCACAGCTGACTGACACTAACAGAAGCCATTGGACAATGCCCATAAACAACCTCATAGACCTTGATGTCTTGATCAGGCGCTGATGGTTCTCCGGCCCCCACCCCCAGCATGGAGCCCGAAGCTGCTCCTCCATCGGACATGCTCCCAGGTTGGTCCAGTCTTTGGGTCCTTTGCTTTAGGTAAGCTTTTCCTTCTAATCATTATTTTGTTAAGTCATGGTGGAGCTCCTTCAGGGCTAGAAGAGTGAAAATCCATTCCACATCACAGTCAAAGAGATACGTCCATGACAAGTCTGGAGATAAGAATAAACAGAGTTGGAGATGTTTAGGCAATTGAATATTTATTGTATCAAATGAATTCCATTAGACTTTTCAATTTTTTTGTTAAGGGTTATTGATAGAAAATATTAATTATCTCCAAATAATTCATGAACTCTGATCTAATCCAGGGAAGTCTGGCATGGTCTGCACTAGTATGAGGGTTTACCTCCCCGGATGTCACTGCTTTTAAGTTTTTTCAGAAATATTCAGCTCATATTCTCAAAAGCACTGAGTATGATATTGTAAGTACTGCTGTAGACCTTAGCATGTTGATTTTTTTTGACTATCAGGTGCTGTCAATCCACCAGGTCCTACTCCAACGACAGAGCTCGGAGCTGCCACCCCACCTTACACACCATCAGGTCGGTCCAATCTTGCTTGGTTCTTTCACTTTGTAGCTTTTCCTCCATGGAGTGCCCCTTTCTTCAGCCATAGTAGCAGGGACTTCGCACTGTGTGACTTCCAAAGCTCCATCTTTCTAGAAGGCATCATGCATTGCATCCTCATGCAGGCGGTCACGTGTCATATGCAGACAGCAGTCCTTGAAGTCATGCAGCTTGGTGGTCGTGCATGGCTGAGTCACTCCGGGGTTACAAGAGTTAACAATCATTCCACATGACACCACGTCATGCAGTGGGGCTCACTCCCAGCGATGCTTACAGTGCTCAGAACAGGCTTGAAAAACTGCTTATAGATTCACAAATCGGTAAACTCTCATATCGTCATTATGCAGCATTGCCTTAATTTCAAGAATCTGACAAATACAGAAATTATCAAATAAGTGATAGGAAGAGGCTGCAGGAAACTTAAAAACAAATCATTCCTCGTTGTGTGAGTATTTGATAAGAGAGCAGTGAAGCCCATTTCCTCCAATACAGGACAACATGGACAACAAACAGAACGATGGTGAGTGAAACTCTCACGGGAGGCCACGCACTCACAGTACCCCCTTCCTCACCCCGACTGGAGCTGGCTGCCAGCTGCTTCACTGTCAGGACAAAACTACATTTCTGACATATTGAGATTCTGATTCTACATTGTACCCTGTGGCCAAATGAAAAAAGAAATCAATTATGTGATTGTTTCTTTTTCTACTACAACCCAGTTTAAATGACCAGTTTGGTGGTTTAACCACTTTTGGGTAGTCTAGCCTGAAATTATTGAAACCGATCACAAAATTGAAGCAGCTATTCAGTTGTATACATATACAAAGAATATTATGAAAAATACATAACTCACTGACAGATATTGAGAACAGGATAGCAAATTCCTAGACACCAACTGTTGCGTTTCAAATCCTAATATTTTGGCCTAATCGTTTGAGATCCTTTTTCAAAGGAAACATACAATACCAGACTGCTGTTTTAGGAGTTAGTGAGATGAAAACGGGGCTGCTTCGTGCCCTGTGAAGCCTCATAGGCTCAGGCTGCTTGGAGCCCAGATAGAGCCACCAAAGATTAGATTTCATTGACTTCCCTGTCCCTGAAATGCATCTGGATTGCGCCTAAGAGAAAAAGAGGACACAATCCACGAAAGGTGTGTGGGCACTTTGAGAGCTGAGTGCTAACCAAGGGGATATCCTCAAAGTACTAGCACTTTCCACACAACTGTGGAGTGTGACTCCGGTGCTGGTGAGTGTGGCAGAGAAGGAGATGGGAGGAGTTGCCAGAACTCTGGCAGGAGGGGTTTGGGCCCAGCCATTGTTTGGTGGCTCGTCTGAAGTTTACTCTCCCAGGTGCAGTGAGGAGGTATCTAGCGGTGAGCAAGGCCTCTTTGCTCTGCACTCACAGGTCCAGCACTGTCATTAATGGTGCCCACTGCAGAGCCTGCTGTGCTTCCCTCAACGCCCCCTCCAGCAGGTCAGTTGGCATTTGTTCTGTGGGGAGTGAGGAGAGGGAGCCGTGTGCCAGGCCCTGGGCTGGGCCCTCCCAGACCTGAAGTCACACTGAGAACTGACCATGTCCCCATGAGGACTCCCAGCCTTTGCAGGGGCTGAGTCAGAAATGATGCTGCATATTCGACTGTGACTTTCAGGCTGTGTCTGTTTTCAAACCTTCATCTCTCTGAAGTTGTGTTTAGGGGATGTCCTAACTGTTAGGGATGGCTCTGTTTGTCCCTGTGACAGGTGACGGATTATCTGCAACCATAGCCACAACAGAAGCTGTAGCCCTGAAGTCCACATCCGCGCCCCTGGCGGGTAAGTCCTTGGGAAAGTGGGGGAAGGAGCTGACGTTTGTGGAACAAGCGACGTGTGATGAACAGGGAATCAGACGCTTTCACATAACTAACACCTCGTTTTATGCTCACACAAACCTACCAGTAAAGTTACCCCTGCCCTACCCTCATTATTGTACATAGGGAGACACAGAAAGTTAATTTTCCTAGAATTAATTGACTAGAAAGTGGTAAAGTCAGGATTTGAGCACATATCTGTCCAATCCCAAGCCCATACGCCTCTACTTGGCCGGATGCTTTTTGGGGGAAACAGTATTAGAGAGAAAGAAGCTTCTAGCAGACATGATTGCTAAGACCCAGGTACATTAAGACCTTAATTTAGAAACCATAAAGCCTGACACCTCTCAGATGCTCTGTGTGTGTTTTTGTTTTCTCTGAAACCTTTTGGGGCCTTTCTCTGTTCCTTGTGTTTTGAGGTTCCGTGATGCTTTCCCTTGGTCTGAGTTTTTTGTCACATGTTATCCTGTACTCTTGGTTTAAGCTTTAGTCTAGAGATGCATGTCCTTCAGTTCTTGCAAGTTTTCTTGACTTATTTGATAACTTCCTGTTTTCCCATTGAACCAATATCAAAGACTTATGACGGTCAAACAAGATCAATCTTGTAAAGCACCGTGACGGTGCCTGTAATGTAGTAAAACTCGTGAAATATTAGTGTTATCATTATATTAGCATTACCACATTGCTATTTTGCAGCATGTGGAAGATCTGAGAGTATGGAACCAGTAGTATAAGAGCCTGATACAACAGGCTCAAGGCAATATCCTGACACCAGGAGGCCAGCCCCCAGTGTCTCTCCTGTTGTTCCCTGACCACCCCCAGGAGCCTGGATGGAGGTGAGGCTGCTGAACGGCACAGAGAGGTGCTCAGGCCGTGTGGAGGTCCTTGTCCAGGGAACATGGGGGACCGTGTGTGACGACCTCTGGGACCTGGCCGAGGCCGCCGTCGTGTGCCGCCAGCTGCAGTGTGGCCAGGCCGTGGCAGCCCCCACAGGGGCCCACTTCGGGGCAGGCTCTGGGCAGATCCTGCTGGACGACGTGCAGTGTGTGGGCAGCGAGAGCAACCTGGGGCAGTGCGTGCACGGGGGCCAGGCCGGGCACAACTGCGGGCACCTGGAGGACGCCGGCGTCATCTGTGCAGGTGAGGGCTGTCACCTCTCACGACCTGACCACTGTCACAGTCGGCTGACACTAACAGAAGCCATTGGACAATGCACATAAACAACCTCATAGACCTTGATGTCTTGATCAGGCGCTGATGGTTCTCCGGCCCCCACCCCCAGCACGGAGCCTGAAGCTGCTCCTGCATCGGACATGCTCCCAGGTTTAAGCTTTTCCTTCTAATCATTATTTTGTTAAGTCATGGTGGAGCTCCTTCAGGGCTACAGGCAGGACCAGCACTCATAGTTCAGACCATCCCCCGTGAATATTCCTGCCCCCTTTTTTTGAGGGTTCCTCAGTCCTCATTGAATCTGCCATAGTGTCATCAGTGGAGCACAGTGACATGTACCCCGTGGAAGGCAGGGGCGGAGCCCTCAGAGCACACCTCGGGAGCTGGACTCCAGTGTGCCCAGCAATCTCTGTAGGTATTTGTTAAGATGTGGAAGATGCCTGGTCCCACCCTAGACCTATGCCTTAATCTGAGTATCTGAGGGAGAAGCCCCTAAATCAGCATTTTTAATAAGCTCCTCAGATTGAGGGACTCTGGGGCTGCCGATCAGCTGACCGTGCTCTGGGGTGCCCTATCTGGCAGGTGATCCTTTCTTCTCTCTCTTTCTCTCCACCTTGCTAAAACTGTCTCCTGGGCCCTGATAGGCACAGATTCTCCAGAAACTCTACCAGTAGGTAAGATAAAGTACATGCATATATATTTTTTTAACTGAGGGACTCATTTTACAAGGATAAACTGTATATTTCTAAGAACTGCATGGGCCACTTTAGCATAGGATGACTATGGAAGAATCTCTGCAAATCACTACCTATGTATCATACTTAAGTTAGATAATTCCTGAGTACCCAGCATCAACAATTTCTATTCTATATGTTTGTGTATATGTACATCTGCATTTATATGAATAAAAGCCTAGAAAATTCAGGAAGGCTGCACAGCATGGTGGGTGTAGTGGTTATCTTGGGTGGTAGACTCATGAGATGTTATTGTTTTCTTTCTGTTTGTTTTATCCAATGTTTCCATAAGAAACATATATGACATATAAAATTATTAGCCCCCCCATGCAAAAAGAGTTAGGAAGAAATAGTTGTCTGCATGCTCGCTGGGATGTGGCCTCCTCGGGCCTCAGGAGCAGTTAGTGACAGAGCAAGGCCAGAGGCCACCATTTCATCTTGCCCACATTGTCGCCACTGAGGCAGGGCATGGTGGGGCCCAGCAATGGCTCACAAGGTGGTGCTCTCCCCCATCTCGACCCCCTTTCCTGTGGCCGGCAGGAATCCCTTCACACCCTCAGCCCGGCCTGCAACTTGCAGACGACACCCCTGTCCACAGTAGGACATCTCTCCCTATGCCCTGCACCCCAGGAGTCCACTGTCTTTTCCTGTGGGCACCTCTGCTGCCCACCATCCCATGTCCCCCATGGGCACCCTCACCCAGCAGGGCAGTAGGGCAAACCACCCTCACTGCTTGCTGGGCCTCAGATGCACACTGTGGGAAGTTCCTGGTGTATCAGAGAAAAGTCTGCCTCACAGCCCTGTCCACAAATCACTCCTGTGAATGCCATTCAGGGAGCAGCCCTTGGAAAGTCTGGTGGGACGAGGCCAGCAGCTCAAGTCCCCAAAGGAAGGTAGCTGGGGGCTCCCTGAGGCAATGCGATGTTCCATGGAAAAGATGCTCACCCACAAGCAGTGTTTCTTTGAGCAACCGAATGGCAGGCAGGCAGGTGGAAGGGCTGGGAAGGTGGTCCCACTGCTCCGAAGCACTCTCGCAAGGCACATTTGAGCTGGTGTGTGATGACCTCGGGAGCTTGGGAGGCCACCCTGTGTGCTGGTGGCCGGAGTGTTAATTCTCCATGGCAGCCTCATTTCAGGATGCTGGGGTCACAGAGACACCATGGAACCAGCCAGAGAGAGTTCTGACAGTGAGTCTGTCTGGTTCACACAAATGCTCTCTTCACTCCGGCAGGTGCTGAACCATCTGCCCACCACCCAGAAGGTAGGACAAAGCGTGTGCATGAACCGTTAGATGTTCTTTCTCAATCCCCTCTCGTGGGACACTAGATAATGGGGAGGGTAATGCCAGGAGAGTGCCTCGTGGTGCCAGTGCCGGCAGGTGGGAGGGACAGTAGGCGCATTCAGGGCCCTCCCCATTCTGATCCAACTGACCTTCCCAAGCCTACCTGTCCCTCTGGTTGACTCTCCGCCCACAGCACTCCCTGGTCTTTCCTGGTCCTGCCCTGCTTATGTCTGGAATAACAGTCTCCGTGAATGACAAGCTGTGCAGGTTACACCTGGTCCATCCTGAGCCGCACCTCCTCCGCAGGGCATGGGGCCTTCCCAACACCAAGGGCCCTGGAAATGCACCATCTCCTGGGACACTCAGCATTTGCCACCTCATTTCCTGTCTCAAATCCCCAGGAAATGCCAGGATCCTCAAGAGCAGGGTCTCTGCCCCTTTCTGCTTTCTGCCTCCCCTACCACCCGAGTGTAGGAAGTGCCAGTAGGCAGTCTCCAGTCCAGACAGGGTAACAGGCACAATCTCTGTTCACGTTGACAGGTGCTGACTCCACAGCTGTGCTGCCTACAGGTACGACCGTGTGCGACATTCGCTGGCATAGACTAGACTTAGCCCGATGTGGGAAAGGTCATGAGGTTTAGAGCCAGATTTTTGTTTGATTCCCAGCTTCCTTCATTCACTCAGGTCCACCACAGGCCAACCTCTGTGCCCAGCACTGGGGACAGCAGTGGTCAAAACCCCCTTGTTTTTTTCTTTTATGGGGTTTACATCCTCACAGGAGAGACAGACCTGACCTATGATCACCCTCAGTTATGTAACCCCAGCCAAGTTATGTCACCTCTCTGTCCCATTTTCCTCCTCATCAGAGCAGGAATGACTACACATTGAATAAGGACATGAATGTGACAATACCTAAATTTCCTGGCACCCACAGGCACTCACACAGCAGTGGTTCCTTCTTTGGCCACATGTGGACCTAAGGGAGGTGGTGTGGGGGAAGGAAGGGCCCCAGGCTGCAGGGATCTGGTCCAGGTGGGCCTCTTGCCAGGTGAATTACCTTGATCCTCAGTCTCTGGTCATCAGAACAGGCCCATTGGATCCCATGCTTCCTACAATTCCAGGCCTCTGACATTCTGTGACTAACAAGCAGAGCATAAGCAGCATGGACTGGCTGAATAATGCACACACCACTGTGGAAAGCAAGAGGTTGTTGTTGGAAAATGGAGACATAGGACTTACAGTATAGATTAAGAGGCACTTCCCTCCTCCGACATTTTATTGAGAATTTTCAAATACATAGCAAATTTGAAGAATATAGCAATGAACTTCTACCTAGATTCTATGATGGATTTACAAATCCATCTATCATTCCCCTATTCATGCATCGATACATCTTATTATTTATTAAGGTTTGATTTATACACCATAAAATTCACCTATTTTAAGGTCTGTTTGGTGAATTTGGGTACTTGTGTACAATTGTGTAACCACTGCCACAGTCCAGATGTGGATCAGTTCCCGCACCCTACAGGGTCTCCTCATGCCGTTCCAGTCCATCCTAGCTGAAGTCGTGACGGCAGCATATGTGAGGAAAAGGCACAAAGAGAGAGATGGTGGCCAGCAGTGGCCTCTCAGACAGCAGGCCACTTGGGGCCACTTGCCCTTGGGCTTTACTTTCACTCAGGGCCATGTGGTGCATGTTAGTGTGTCAACAGGTGGCAATGCCATGTTCTGCCCTAAATGGAGACCTTGGGGATATGAGGTCACTGGCCTTAGAAAGCATGTCATCATTATTCCTGCTGAATCCTGGGAGGAGACAGGCACTCCCCTGAAGCAGCTGTGCATTTTCTCCTAACGTTGTGACCATCCCTGATGGCAGTCCTTCCTTCCTTCTCCCCTAGCCCGTGAGAACCTACTTCCCACATCATCGGTGGGCTCAGTGGCTCAACACCCACCTTCTTCTGCACCGCCAGGTAGGGCTATGTCTTTTTGTCCTATGTCTTCTGAACGACTGTGTTCATTCGACCACGAATGAGTGAATGAGCATGTGTCACTGGGGACATATAGAACAGTGAACAGAGCAGACCCTCATGTGGGCTGAGTCCTCTGGGACGTCACAATAGAGTGTGGCGGATGCCGTGACGGGGGAGCGCGTGAGCCATGGGTGCCCAGAAAGGGGTCTCCATCCAGACCCGATGGGGCAGCATACCAGGAAACCAGTCTAAGCCAGGGAGTGGAGCATGAGGGGACAATGGGTTTGTGCCAGGCAGAGGAGGACTCAGGCAGTTAAATTCCCTGATGGCAGGAGACAGCACTTTCCGGATTAGAGCCTAGGGCTGGATGATGTCCTTACAGAGTTAGTGAAGAGTGAGGCGGCCGAGGCCCTCGAAGGTGATGTTTTGCCGAAATCAAAGATGAGTAATATTGCAGGATATCCAGCCTTGAGTTGGGTCTTCGGTTTTTCCTCTGGAGTCAGGTATACACTCCAGTCCTCTCGAGCTGACCAGGAAGACACAATCACGGGCACATGGCTTTGGCCCATGCCTCCTCCTGGCTGTGGGTGGGACAGGTTATATAAAAGGGGGGTATGGATAGAGAATAGGTGTATAAGTTATCTATTGCCATGCAAAACCACTCCCAAAACATAGCTGCTTAAAACAACCACCATTTCTAACTGCCCCCGAGTCTATGGGGCAGCTGGGCAGCTCTGCCGCCTGGGGTGGGCTCTGCTGATCTTGGCTGGGTTTGCTCACACATCTCTGGTTAGCTGCGGGTCAGTTGAAGACTGTCTGGCTTTGGATGGCCTCCCTCACACGTCTGGCAATTCCGTAGCTTCCATCCAAGGGGATAGAGGTGACAAGGCCACATGCCTACCTCAGGCTTGTTCACGTGATGCTCTCGGAATTCCCGGGTGAGCTGAAGCCTGTCCAGCGTTTCCAGGCCTCCCCTCTGCATGGTGCGCCAGTACTTCTGCTGTGTTCTACCGGCCAAGCAAGCAGTGAGAATACAGGCTCAGCCTCTTGATGGGAGGGGCCGCAGGGTCACTGAGCACAGGGAAGAGAGGAACTGTGGCCATTTTTGTAAACAACGTCCCACAGGCAAGCTGTCTTAAACCAGTGTGGATAAGGAAGACATCATAGGCTTCCTAGAGCAGCCGTGTCTGGGGATGGCTTGGGGTCCCTCGTGACAGCTAAGGATTTCTGTAGCAATGTCGAGGAAGATGAGGACAGGGCAAAAGATAGGGTAGACAACAGTGCAGTCGCCGGCAGCAGAGGGCACAGCTGTCACCCCTGACCGCTCTGTCCTTCCCCAGGAGGCTGGGCCCCCGTGCGGCTGGTAGGCGGCCTCGGGCGCTGCGTGGGCCGCGTGGAGCTTTTCTACCAGGGAGTCTGGGGGACCGTGTGCGACGACCTCTGGGACCTTCCCCAAGCAAACACCGTCTGCAGGCAGCTGGGGTGCGGCTGGGCTGTCTCAGCCCCCGGCGAAGCCCACTTTGGGGAAGGTTCTGGGAAGATTCTGCTCGACAATGTGCACTGCCGGGGGGACGAGCGGCACATTGAGGAATGCTCTCACAGTGGCTGGTTTTCCCACAACTGTGGTCGCGGGGAAGACGCCGGCGTGATCTGCTCAGGTAAACCCCTGCTTCCTGCCCAGGCGGGGCCCGGCTTCCGCACCTGCCTAGAGAATACTTTGCAAATGACAGTGTAAAATAACTGCTGAAAACGAACTGGCACTTTATTCGCTCACGGCAGATGTTCTCATCTCTCACACGTACAGATGCTGAGTATCCAACTGTCCCACCACCAGGTAGGGAAGCCGGGGTTTGTGTGTGCAGCTTGTAAAATCTTGGGGAAGAAGCTCTGCTGGAAATGGGACGTGTCTTGTTCTCCAAGCCAGGGGAGTGACGGAGAGATGTGGAGTCACCTGATTGTCCCGCAGGAGAGCCGGACCGTGCCTTAGAAATCACCTAGTCCAGCCTCGCTTTCTGCCTCTCCCTCTGCTCCCCTGTGCATTTCACACACAGGAAACAGGTTCTGGATTTTGCAGACTTCTGTATAGCCTTTTTGTTTTGTTAGTTCTGAGGGTCGCAGAGGGGATGGCGATGAGAAATGGATGGGTAGGGGGTGGCTAAGATATGAGAGACAGTCAGGGTGCTTCCTGCCCAGCGGTAATGGCCCATGGGCCGAGTCTGGGCACAGTCAAGGTGAGCCAGTTGCATTTCCACCTTCCTGTTCCTGGTGCAGCCCTGGCCCCACAGAGCTTCCACTGTGGCCGGCTGCCACACACACTCCCAAACCCAGCACCATGCCAGTGCCCTCTCTCCCTCATCAGACCCTGGGTCCCTCGGTACCCTGCTGTTAGTCAGCTCTCAGTCAGAGAACAAGTTCCACAGCTTGTCTGACAAGATCTGGTAAAGCTTCATTCATGCCCCCTGTGGGCTGTCAGCTCTAGCAGGTAAGAGCGAATTGGTCCAGGGAGAGAATCTTCAGTGGGAGATGCTGAGCAGAGTGTCACAGGCGGGAGGGATGTTGAGGGCATTGGGAAGAACCCACAGCATCTTTAGCCCTGTCTCAGCATCTCTGAGCAGCACCAGGTCAAAGGAACCAGTGAGTTGGTGCTTCCTCCTGTTCTTATATCACAACCTCGTAAGTCCAACCCTTGGGTCACTTGGGAAGAGGCTCCAAGAGCCAGAATTTCATGTCTTTAATTTTCCTAGGCTCCAAATTGAAACTGATCTTGTTTGCATGCATGACAAGAATAGTGCATCAAAGGCTGGGAAGGATCTAGATCAATGCGTCTTGCCTCCCACATGTTAAAATCCCCTCCGTGCTCAGGCCTCTCCCCCAGAGACCCTGACTCAGTGGTTCCAGGAGGGGCCCGGACAGTGTATTTGTTGCAAGCTCCTCAGGATTCTCATTTGCAGACAGGGTTGTGGACCTCAGCACTGGCCGAAAGTCCATGTGTCCTTTGTGTGTTTCACAGGTCATCCGTTGGCTGCCCTGGTGGCGTCAGTGGCTGCAGGTGAGAATTTTGTGTCCTCGGCTGCCCTGATCATCATCTTCTGGCTCAAGCCCCGAGTGATTCTTCAAAGAAATTTTAGCCAGAGCATGACTGCCCTGTCTGGGTCACCCCTCTGAGCCTCTGTTCTGGGGGAAGAGCCCAATAATACAGGCCAATGAATTTATGTTCCGATTCCATTTCTATTTAGTCAAAGAAGGAAGTCCAGATAATCAAGCCATGTCAGCCTTTTTGGCTCCCAGCACAGACGCCATGAGTGAAGGGCAGGAATGCAGCCACAAAAACAGCAGCGTTGCAGGGTGTACCCAAGGCCGTGATTTTAGAGGGCTCCCACCATGATGAGCACATTCTTCTTCTCCACCCTTTCCCCTTCTCTAACAACCTCTGTCCTCCTTCTGTGTCCTTTCTTTTTCACCTGCCATTTTTCCCCTCTGTTCTTGCCTGTGCCTTGGACTTCCAGAAGCTCCACTGCACTTTTCTTAGCACCACTTGGAGATCAAGGGCTAAAATAAGACTGATGCCAGGGGAGCCTGGCTGGTCCTTCCAGACACAGCTAGATGACCAGGGCCAGTTCTCACACAGTCAGATAATCTGATGAAGAAAAGCCAGCTGTTTCCATTGCCACTGGCATCACCTTTAATTTTGGGCTGAACGTCGGACAGGTGGATAGACAGACAAGCAGGTGGAGAAACAAATGGACAGGTGGGAGGACAGGTGGACACAAAGCATCATCGGTATTAGAGGATTGAGTGACTCAGGGCAATGTCTTTCTACGTAACAGTGCATTTTTAAGAATGTAATTTTAATAAATTACAGCTGATGGTGGATGAATGCTGCCATCTTCATATACACAGAGGCTCCACATTGGCTCAATCTTACCTGGGAAAACTGAAGGAGTACTTTATTCATTATTGTTAGTGATTGGACAAAAATCAAAGCTACAGAGCCCACAACTAGGCAGTGACCAGTGGGAAAGGTTCTGGCTGATATTAGTTAGATGAGAGCTCTTCCCAGCAAGCTCATGTCAATGGTAGCATTCTCAAAAGAGACGAGAGATGTTTCAAAAGTCAGATGTGTTCATGCCCTAATTTCCTAAGTTTCCAAGACTTTTTAGACTAGTTTATACCTCCGATATGTCCTAAGGCATACCCAAAGTCATTACCAAAGTGATGACCAATGAAACCTTTTTTGGGAAAGAAAAATGAAAAAAAAGTATGAATTACAAAATTAGTAAGCTGAACAATGAAAAAACTGAAATGCTAAAGTACAATTCTGCATCTAGGAAAATCTCCATGCGGCGGCATTATCACTAACTCATCTGGCGCGATTAGGAATCCCCCGCAGAATGAAATGCATGACAACATAACCTGTGTGTGGGAAATCAAGGCAAATGCAACTGATCACATACTGCTGGCATTTCCATATCTTAAGTAAGTCCTAAGTGTGTTACTTAAGTACACTGTGTAGTTTTTTAATTTTATTTTTAATTGATAAATAATAATTATATATAGTTATGAGGTACAATGTGTATTATATGTGTATGCATTATGGAATGATTACATCAGGCTAATTAACATATTCACTACCTCACACATACTTACCTTTTTTGTGTGTTAAGAATTTTTAAATTCTACTTTTTTAGAAATTTTGGAATATACAATACATTCTTATTAACTATCACCGTGTTGTACAATACATCTCTTGAACTTCTTTCTCTTGTCTAACTGAAACTTTGTACCCTTTGACCAACATCACCCCACCTCTGGTAACCACCATTCTACTCCCCACTTCTATGAGTTTGACTTTTTTAGATTCCACCTGTGAGATCATATAGTATTTTTCTCTCCATGCCTGGATTATTTCATTTGGCATAATGTCCTCTAGATTCATTCATGTTGCAAATGACAGAATTCTCTTCTTTTTCAAAGCTGAATAGTATTCTATGTGTGCGCACGATTTATTTGCCCATTCATTCATTGATGGGCACTTAGGTTGTTTCCATATCTTAGCTACTGTGAATAATACTGCAATAAAATAGGAGTGCAGATATCTCTGTGGCATACTGATTTCAATTCCTTTGGATATATACCCAGAAGTGGGATTGCTGGATCATATGGTAGTTCTATTTTTAGTTTTTTGAGGATCCTCCATACTGTTTTCCATAATGGTTGTACTAATTTACATTGCATTTTAATTTTGGTTTTTACATGCCTGTTGCTAGTACAGAGAAATACAATTGATTTTTGTGAGCTTCCATGAATTTTTAATTAAAATGAAATTCACCTTATTACTTTGGATAGGTGCGCATGTGCATGAGAGAGAGAGAAAGGGAGAGAGGAGTGAGAGAGAGTGTGTTCTGTCCTGCTCATTAAAGATGCAGGCGTAGGATATCCCAGACCTAATAAATCAGGAATTTTAGCTTTTAATGTTGTAAATAGTCAACGTTGATGTCACTCATAGGTGATACATAAATGATAAATTCATGATGAATTTCTTATGGAGATTAACCCCCAAGAACAACTTAAATTATTTATTGCTCTTGAATTTTGCTTAATCAAAATATTGCTTGGAATGGACAGCTAGTCAGGTTGAGGCGTGGAAATGGTTTTCTGGTTCTAGCACTAGCAGCATCTGGACAAAACCTCACAGTGACGGACAACAGCCCACAAAATCAGATGACTTCCGCAAAACTGGGCAGATTTGGGAGCCCACTTCTCTCTAGGCAGGTTGGCTACCAGAAGCTTATAAGCGGATTATTTGTTACTTGGAGCTCCGTCCTGCTGGCAGGCCCACAAGAAGCGAGCAGCCTCTCTCTCCTCTGGGCTTCCCCCGCCCCCATTGCCACATGGTGAAATTGCCTCGATTTGCCTGGCCCTGCCCTTGGCCTAGGCTGTGAGGTATCCTGCGGTCTCAGGCTGCCCCCAGGCCCTGAGCAGGGCTACACTTTGTGCCAGCTTTGTCCTTCCTCCTCTAGTTCCAGTCCCATTCCCTTAAGGCAATGGCTCTCGGAGAGAAAACGTGGGATAAAAGGAATCTGTGCTATGTCTGAGTGGCTAACAAGCTTTTCATCTGCTTCTGGCCTCTTCATAGTAACGAAATCAAGCGTCTGTCTCATAGCACACCTCTGAGGTCTTCTGATGAGGAGACCACGAGGCACCATGGTGTTTCCTTCCCCAGCCTCGACTGCACCAATGAGTACTTTGAAATCCTGGACGGCCCCCCCTCCTCAGCACAGTCCCTGGGGAAGACCTGCTCCGGTTTCTACCTCACCTACGCCTCCTCCTCCAGCTGCATGACCCTCGTGTACTTCCGCAGCGTCAACAACATAGGAAAAAACTTCCTTGCTTATTATTATTCTGCGCCCAAGGGTAAGAATGGTGGTTAAGAGCAACCGCTCTAGAGCTGAGCTCTCGGCCTGGGTGCCGGTTACCGTCCCGCCACTTACTCTGTGACCCTGGAGAGCAACTTAACCTCTCCCGGCCCCAGTGCCTTTCCTGTATGGTGGGGATAACAGGAGAAGCTCACTTCCCAGGTTTGTTGTGAGAGTTACACGTAATGACACAAGGGAAGCACTCAGCAAATGACGGAACGTCATAAATGTTCCGTGATCGACAGCTTTGTCATGGGCTTTTTAGTTCCACGTGAACATCTTGTCGCGGTCAGCCCATTAGGAAGTCGTTTCTGAAGTTACTCCGAATCTAGTACTAGGTGGGTGTTTTAGGACCTACGGAAGAAGAAGGTGTGGCCCCAGCCTGAGAGAGGCTCATGCACACCCTAGAGGGAGTTCACGACAAACACTTGTGATGAGATTAGATGACAGAATATACGTGATTAAGGCAAACAAACAGAGCAGATGAATAGACTAGAATATACTAAATTGACGTGTGCATGCATCTCAACAAAAGACATCAGGAAAGAGAGAGCAATGAAGGCTAGGAGTATTAAGGAAAACATGGGGGGGAAACAGCCTTGGATTTGGCTTTACAGCTGGCGAGGCTGTGACTGAAGAACGGAGAGAGGGCAGCTCGGGTGAGAGAGCAGCATGAGGTGTGCGATGAGAAGGCAGGCGGAAGCTGAGCCAAGGGTTCCTGTGGAAGCGCAGTGCGCTCAAGGTTAGGTAATAACAACATCATCAGCAATGAAAATACTCAGAGTAACAGCTGACATTTATGGGATGCCTATTATATGGCAGGCAGCGTGTTTAGCACTTTACATAAGTTATCCTCACACAGACCCATGGTTCTGCCCCTTTTACAGATGAAGAAACTGAGGCTTGAGAGGTTCAGTAATTTTCGGAGGTCCTGCATTATTCACAGAGAGAAAATAGGCAGCTCACAGAACTGCAAACAACCAGCACCGGCTTTGTCCAGGATGTTCAGGGCAGTATCCCGTACTCTCAGTGAGCGCCAGGGTGACTCATTGAGCAAGCTTGGGACACATGTTATAAAACACATTGGAGATGCTCTGTGTCACAGAGTGGATCAGGGAAAATCACCTTAACTGTCATCAAACAGCTATTGACGATGATGTTTTCCTTGTGTTTGCAGAGGCGGCGACGCAGACGCCACAGCTAATCAGTGAGTCACGTTCATGCTGTTACTTACCCTTCATCCCCAGCTCACGTTTCTTCCTCTGTCCCCTTTCCTCGTGCTTTTACTGTCATCATTCGCTGTCTGTCATAGATGTTTCCTACTTCCCTGTGTAAATCTACCACAGCTGAGAGATTCTGGCTCCACGGATTTTGCACAGGTGTGATGTCCGTTCACACTGGAACCAAGTTACACCTGTCAACAGTCGGGCCACTGAATAGTGATAATTGTCAGTTTGATTTCCTCATTCTTTTTTTATCAAAGACAATAAGACACACCTAATCAGATACTGTTCATTTAGGGAAAGCTGACAACGCGGAAGCAAACAGAAGAGATGGCTGTTTTCCTCAAAAAGACACTGATTGGGAATGTTTGCATTTTAACACAGGATAGCACAATTTAAATATTATTATATTTCCAATAGCTGAGCAGAAGAAGGGAATATTATTCGTGGTGGATCCCACACATTTGAGAAACATCAAAACATACATGAAAGGAGAGGTCGATTTGGGAGGTCACTTATTATAAAGATTATAGGGAGAAAGAATCCGCTGGAATCCTGGCATTTCATGAAACTTGGGCTCAGAATGCTGCCCTCTTGACTTGCCAAGTCCCCCCTTTTTATTTAAGGGCATCTTCTTGTATCCACAGCCATCCCGACAGCACCACCCAAGACAGTGACAGCAAGACCAGGTAAGCCCTGAAATGCATCCATTCGTTTACCAAGCATCCTTTCCTCTTGGTGTTTCATTTGTACCTGCTTCATGCGCAGAAACTTGGCCAACTGCAAATAGTTCATGTATTCACAAATGGGCCAATTGACTCTACCCAAACTTCTAGGGCCATTCAAAACTTTTGGCATCTTTTGGTTCTAGCATCCCAGGACAAGCAAAATTCATTTTTATTTATTTATTTATTTTTTTGGTGACTTTCAGAGTCATCGAAGCCTGAGCAGCTTATAAGCACCCTGTGTTGGGTGTTGGGATTCTGCCTCTGCCTGTTATGACAGTTCTGACCATAGTTAACATCGCTTCCGTGTCGCTAAAAACCTTTTCAAAGTGAATGGAGTGTCAGAGCCGTTCCAGAGGCAGTGAGACAGAACAGCAGAGAAAAAAATAGTGAGCTTTGGAATCAGGAGACCTGAGTTTAGGTCTGCTACTTACCAGATGTGGGTTTGGGGTGAATCACTTTGCTTCTCCAACTTTCAGTTTCCTTATAGATAAAATTGGTATACCAATAATCTTCCACTCGCCTTCCTGAGTTATTTTATAAACGTGAAGGTGAACACATACACACACACACATACGCACACACACACACACACACACACACACACAGAAAAGAACTTCATAAAAATCACAAGTCATTGTGCAAATTGTTGATAATGTTTTTCCGAGTTTAGTTAAAATAGATTAGCACATACCTCTGAAAAAATATATACTTAATTAACAGACTTTTTAGGCTAAATGTTACTAACAATTCTAATGACTTGCCAACTTCCCACCGGGAGGTTGACTAGTTGACTAACTCTGACCAGGTTCTCCCTCCCTAACAGAGTGTGGGAGCGGGGAGCTCGCTAGCCCATGGGAAGGGTGCAGTGCCCCCAGAGGACGGCAGTCACCGGGTCTCTGTCTGCAGGGGACTGGCCAGAGCTGCGGCTGGTGGGCGGCTCAGGCCGGTGCTCGGGACGCGTGGAGGTCCTCCACCAGGGGGCCTGGGGCACCGTGTGTGACGACCTGTGGGACCTGAACGAAGCCGAGGTCGTGTGCAGACAGCTGCGGTGTGGTCGGGCCATGTCCGCCCTTGGGAAGGCCCACTTCGGCCCAGGCTCAGGAGACATCTTCCTGGACAACCTCCAGTGCGCGGGTGTGGAGCGCTACCTGGGCCAGTGCGCCCACTCGGGCTGGTCGGAGCACAACTGTGGCCACCACGAGGACGCCGGCGTCATCTGTTCGGGTATCCTGTCCCCTTTCAGTTGGGCACTGCCAGTCCCAGGGTGCTTTGAGACCACCCTGCTGGCATTCAGATCAGCCAGGGACAAAGATCCTCAAACACGTAGTATTCGATTTGCTGTATCTCTTTTAGCTTGGTTAAAACTTAGCTTTGACTTGGTTTGAACTGCTAGCCTCCAGAATAAAACCTCCTGATTTTCTAATTTGGTAATAAGTATTGCCAAAAGTATGTGTGCTTTACTGACATGTGCAAAGAGCATGTTTAAGATGGGAACTTTTCAGGAGGAGAGGCAGCCTGAGACGGTGAGGCTGGGGGGGAGGTTGGAGCGGCAGCCGGAGTCTGGCTCCCGGAGCCAGCGCGGACGCGCAGGCTGTATTTGGGCAACACTTAAACTCTCTCTTAGACATAGGTGGTAATTCTGCCTTGTGACGAATTTTTTTAAATACTCTGGATTTACTCGTGCATAAGCAGTTAGCTGGGAGTAAGTTAGCCAATTCAGGAATATCCGTTAATAACCCTTTCTGATAATGAGATGCCTTTTGGTAAACTAACAGCTGTAATATCTGATGTGACTTGAAAGAATCCGTAACCGTAACTAGAAGTGGTGCCCACTACATAGAGTTGTCCGTGTAGGCAGCAGCTCAACTGTACGTCAGCACCTGCTTCCTGCGACTTCTAATTCGAGGCACATATTTAAAAGCATTGTCTTGTGCATTGGTGCATGCATCTATCCATCTGCTTGCATGTGTGGCACATATAACCTAGTCACAGCCTCATGGTACATGTTATTCCCAAGTTTTGATGCTCTAGAGGATGATTGTCTAAATCTGAGGTGACCTCAAAGATCCCCAAAGTGAAACTCATCTGCTACAAAATCAATACTTTAGGCCAGATCATCCCAAATGTGCCCTTTATACCTGTATATTTTTCCACAGTGCGGCAGCAAACCAACAACCAGGGAGAAGCTGACGTTTATAGCCACAGATGAATCTGCTTCTCCCTGTACCATGTTATTTAAAGGACTAATCTTTCCCTTATCAGATTCGTAAACATGTATAAGGATATAATGAAAATGTTCATCTTCAGTTATTAAAGTCAGGATTTTTTTAAAATGCTGACATACTTATTCTCTCTACAAACAGATGCCGAGGAGTCACTTTTTAACAGTCCAGGTCAGTCACGCCTTTTGCCAGTGGGAGTGAAATACCAGCTGTTCTTGATTCTGCCCTGGAGCTCCTTGTTCTTCCAGCTTGAAGTTCACTCCCTGTCTAAACTGCAGAAATTGTCACACCACTGAGATGCTGTGACAAAGTCTTATCTGAAATTGCATTTGATTTTTACATGTGATGATGGCTTTGTGTGTGTGTGTGTGTGTGTGTGTGTGCATGCATGTCTATGTATGTAAGTCCATAGTTTCTAGAGACACACACAGAAGGAAATGGCCTTTCATGGTCTTTTTGCATACGCTAGTCCCTCTGCTGGGACTTTCCCAGCTCCTCCCCTGACTGGCTCCTTCTCACTTTTTAAGAGGCATCTCCCCTGGCCCCTCCTCTCTACCATTCCCTTGGCAGAAACCTGTTCTTTTCCTCTGATACATTCATCACAGTGTGGAGTAATGCACTGTGGTACTGTCTGTAATTAATTGACTAATTAATAGACTCCGGGCTCCCTGAGGGCAGAAACCACGTCTCCCGGTTTAGAGCTGTAGCATCAGTGTCTACTGTGAAAGACAATCGCTAAGTACTTGAAATGAAATGAAATCTGAAGACTCTACCACCTGCACCTCAGGAGCACATGAGAAATGTGATGAGCAAGCCCAAGGCTCAAGACCAGGGGGGGCTCCCCGCAACCTGACCCTGAGCCTGGTGCTGGTGGACCAGGTGGGGTCTTTTGGGGGCTCACAAACACACATCTCTTGTCTGCAGGGGACTGGCCAGAGCTGCGGCTGGTGGGCGGCTCAGGCCGGTGCTCGGGACGCGTGGAGGTCCTCCACCAGGGG